CGGGACCCTGCCCTGAAATGCCCGGCCCAGGCAGACCTCTTCTCGGGGGCGTGTCGCCACCCACGCTCTGGCCTGGCAGCAGGGCTTCTCTGGCCGCCTGTGCGCCACACAGATGTCTCTCCCTCCTGCGCCCCGGCCTATGCCCTGGCCAGATGTGTCTTTCCTCCATTCCGCTTTCAGAGAGTCCCTCTTCCGTTCAGCACTCTCCAGGGGTTCCCCATGCCCAGAGCAGGAAGTCCAAGTTCTTCCTCCCAGTCTCAAATGACCCTGCAGCTAGCTCACCCTCTCCGCTCAGCACACACCCTCCTGGCCTGACTCACAACCCTCCTGTGTCGAGGAGCAGGGGGCAGCTGGGGCTGGCACACCGGGTGCTGGTAGGAGATGAGGGTGGAGCTCCAGGGGCACAGTGGGAAAGCGCACCGCGGGCACATGTGTCCTGGGAGCTCCGCTCAGCCTCCTGCAGCCAGGCTTAGAGCTGGCTGGGTACAGCCTCTACCCGCACTCTCGGCACCAGCTCTCCAGGTGGCCAGCTGCCCAGTGCCATGCCCCTTCCTTTTGGCCAGTGAGAGCAGAAGTAGCCGAGGGCTCTCAGGAGCCTGCAGAACTCAAGAGCCTTAGGAAGCAAAGGGCCGTGAAGTTAGAGGTGAAAGGTCCAAAAGGCCGTTTAGCCACTGGTAGCAATTACTGGGTGGGCCTGGCTGACGGCCCTGAGCGGGTTCCTGAAAGCAGGAAGAGCTGGAAGACAGCACTGGAGATGAGATGATACCCTGGAGTCTTCATAGAAAGCCGGTGTCCCCGCTTGGCCCCATTTTATAGATGAGTAGATCAGGACTCAAAAAATAGGAATAACCAGGCCTGCCATTCAAGAAGCGTTTCCTGAGTGTCTTCTCCATGGGTTTTACTACCCCTTGGAGATAGCAGAGCAGGTGCTTCTGAGGCCCAGGGTGCCCACACTGCTTGCCCCGGTTGCCCAGCAAGTCCTTGGCAGGCTGGCCCTGGAGCCCTCTCTCTTAACTCCAATCTGGCATTCATTCTGCATAAAGACCGTGGGTCAGCAGGCGGGTTGCATACCCCCGGGGCAGGTTCAGGTAGCCAGGCTGTTCGGGCACCAGGGAGCGACTTCCTCAGGCTTGAGAAGGTCCCTAGGATAGCGCTGTTGGTTTGACTAGTCTCTGTGCACCTCTCACCACAGGAGTGAGCTGTTGGCCCGGGCCCCACCGTGGTAAATGGGAGCCACACGCTGCCTGGCACCCTTGTGCCCAGAGCCTCTTTCACAGTCTGGCCTGTGCACCCCAGATGGACAATTCCCTTGGAGTCCCAGATCCCTCCTCTCCTCCACTTTCAGTGGAGCAATGGCAAAGACATTCCCTTTGGATTGTTACCTGCTGCTTTAAAGCATGGTAGTGTTAGGGACTGAAGTCTTGTGCATCCCCCCAAACTCTGTGTTGAAGTTGTCTGCCCTGGGACCCCAGGATATGCCCTTGTTTGGAGAGAGTCCTTGTAGATGTAGTTAGCTGAGATAGGCCATCGTGGAGTAGGGCAGGCCCCGAACACAGCGTGAGTGATGTCCTATGAAAAGGGGGCATTTGGACACAGACACCATGGGCAGTGGGAGGAAGAGGTGGGGATGTTGCCATGGACCAGAGAGCATCAGAAGCCAGCAGGGAGGCAGGGTGGAGCCTCCCGCACACCGAGAGGGAAGCGCTCTGCCAACCCTGGGCCTCTCATTTGTGGACTCCAGACAGTGAAGCAGTAAATGTGTGTGATTTAAGCCATGTAGTTCGCAGTACTTTGTTGTCATGGCCCTGGCAAACTAAGTTCGCACACGTCCACCGGGTACACTTAGACTTCAAAGAGAGAGAGGGGCCACAAGCCAAGGAGCATGGGGGCCTCTAGGAGCTTCCACGGAAAGGGAGCCCCACCTAGAGCCCCGGGAGGAGGCGGCGCTGCTTTCCAGACACGGGGTATAGACCCCGTCAGGGAGGCTTGCTGCCCTAGCTCCTCTCCCCAGCACCACATGCAGTCCAGGATCAAGTGCACTCAGTCCCATCTGTTATCACAGAATTGGATCTTTTTTCTGTCTCCTCTGCCTTCCTTATCTTGTTTTCACTGAAGAGTGGTAAAATATACAAACATGGAATTTACCATTTTAGCCTTTTCAAAATGTACAGCTCAGTGGCATCGAGTATATTCACGTTGTTGTGTGACCACCAGACTAATCTTTCTTCAGAACCTTTTCATCTTATTTGCTCGTTTTAAGGCCTGTATCTTCCAAGAGTTAGCTTCTCTTGTTTTGTTGGTACCGGGGACACCCTTGTGAGGCAAGCAGTGGAACCACTGAGCCAAATCCCCGGCCCAAGTTAGCTTCTTTTTAACGAGCGCATGAGAATCCTTCCGGTTCCAAAGATGTGCATTTCTGCCTTCCTCTTTGATTTTGTATATAGCTTCATATTGGTTGGGAATACTGACTGTTTTGTCTCTTCCTTCTGAGTCTACAGGCCTCTCCTCTGTGTGTGTGTGTGTGTGTGTGTGTGTGTGTGTGTGTGTGCGCGTGCACGCACGCATGCTTGTGCATGTGTGAATTAGTACACAAACAAATATAAATGATAGATGTTCAAGACCTCTCTACTAGAAATGACAATGCATTGCTGAATACATGAAAAGAAAATCTAAATAAATAGAAATATTTTCCACGCTCATGGCTTGGGAATCTCAATACTGTAAAGATAGCTGTTGTCATAGTTACTTTTCTCTCTTTGCTGGGACAAAATACCGGACACCCAACAATAAAGGGGAGTTTGTTGGTATTAAGAAGCCATGCAGAGATATGTGGTCAAGGACCTCACTCTGGGCTGTGTTGCTGCAAAGTCCCACACAGCCTGACAGCAGGGGAGTGGAAAAACCAGCCTCGGGCCTGAAAACATGGAGTTCTGTGTTGTGATTAGGGTTACCAATAGGAGGTATTCTTTGACATGGAAAAATGTTCATTTTATTGTGTAAAAGCATTGATGGGTTCATTTTATTTACACACATGGACAAATACCTACAAAGAATATGTAGCCCCCCCGCCATTTTCATGTCGCATTTTTCAGGGGCACTTGATTCTTTTTCCTCTTTTTGATCACCCACTATTTGTATAATTTCTAGTTTTTTCCTTCACTGAGCATAAATTACTTACATAATACAGAAATGTACAAATATAGAATATAGGGTTGGAAAAATAGAAGATGGAAGTTCTAGTCCCATAGAATTTATTTGAAAATGTATTCATTAAGAAAAAAAAATCCTAAGTAGAAGTTTATGGTGTTGCGGCCCAACAGCTGTGTTTACCCAGAGCAGTGAGTTATTAAATGTTTGAGAGTTGAAGTTACAGCATTAAAAACGCATGAGCCAGCTTTTTCTAACCATCCGTCTGTATTCAGGGAAGTGAAAGTTAATCACGGTACAGTTCCGTCTTGTTTGTTTTTCATGGAATCCTCCAATATCCCCACCTACATACATTAGCTCTAAGTAGCCTATGTGTATTGGGTAATGACTGTGCAAGAGGAACCCCAAGACCATGTGTTGGAGCTAAATAAATGAATGGAAACACACACACACACACACACACTCCTAGCGCAGGACCTCTTTTCATCACCTCCAGCGCTAACACTTTGGTCCCAGATGCTGTCCATAGACCCCTAGCTGTTCTCCCTGAGTCCATCCTGTGGTCCGTTCCCTCTACTGTAGCCAGGGGCATCTTTTGAGAGCATCAGTGGGATGTTGTCTCTTGTGCACAAAGCATGTGAGGACTTCTTCCATCAGAACCACGCTGGGTCCTCCAGGCTGCCTCGGATCTCACCACCCATTCCCCAGCCTCTGCTCTCCTCACACCAGGCCAGCTGCGCTTCCTCTTCCCCTTTCCTGGCACGTTCTTTCCAGAGTGGTTTGTGTCCCTGGTTTCTACGGGTTTTGCTGAATTGCATCTTCCTCCACACCCTACAAAGTAACCCTGTCTCACTCCAGTACCTCACCGAACTTCATTTCTCTTCATAACACTTATCTCCGCTCACGTATGACACATGGCTCTCTGTGCGCCTCTCCACCAGGATGTCAGCTCCCCGAGGGCAGACTTTGTCTCTTTAATGCCCCGTGCTCTAAGTGGGTGTTCGCTGAATGTGTGAAGGATTGGAGAGGGCCCGGATAGCAGATTCTCCTTATTCTCCCAGGTGACACCTAAGGCCCGCCTGAGGCCTGTCCTTGCCTTGCCCAGCTAGGGGGGCAGGCCCGGGTGCTGACTAGCCACTCCGCTGCAGCTCCCACCTGTGCACTGGGACGAAGCTCACACACACGGGGCCCCGGCCCTGTCCATCCTGCCTCTGTGTGTTTTTCCAGTTCACACAGAATTTCAACCCAAAGTAGCAGAAGAAAAACAGTTGTTGCTCCAGAACCCTGAAAAGTCTTCCAGTGGATCTGTCCCTGGGAAAACAGTAGTGATCTCAGGGGGGAAGACAGGAATGGGAAGGGGTCTTCTGGCAGTGGGGGCTACAGGATAGATTTGGTTTTGCAATTAAAATAACATCTGGGTATGTTTCCACGAGCAGCTCTGGGAGGTGGGTGGTCTGTGAAGTATTGGGCTGGGTCTTCCTCCATCCTAGTCTGAGGGAGTTTAGAAGGGCTGGCGGCTGAAGGACTCACCCCACAGATGAAGTCGGAAAGAAATCATGCCCAAGAAGCATCAGCAAATGCCAGCCTGGCCTGAAGGCCTGCCAGTCCCTGACCCAGACTCCCTCGGTGCCTCCCAATGCCTCCCCGAGAGGCTCAGGCACCCCCTGTGATGCACACGGAGCCCTGGCCTCCTCCCTCTCATGCTCCATGCGCTTGGGTAATCGCCTGTGAAATGAGGGATTTCAGGTGTCGCCATGTGCATGATCATAGCGGTGGTGCTGCGGGTGGGGAGGGGACACCGAAGGCTGTTCTTGTCTTCTGAACCCTGTCTCTCTGTCTGGCTGGCTCTGCAGATGCAGCTCCTGGATAAGTTCCCCATTGAAGGAGGCCAGAAGGACCCCAAGCAAAGGATCATCCCCTTCCTCCCAGGTAAGCTCGGGGGAAGGTGACCTGGAGCAGGGCGTCCTTGGGTCCAGAGGAGGCCAGCTGCTAAGCCAAGGATCTGCATAGTAACCACTCCTGGGTTCTGGAGGTGCCTGACTTGGAAGGCCACTGTCTTCTGAGCAGCTTCTGCTGTCCCAGGACTGTCTTTGCTGGGCCCTGGCTTTTATCCTTGAAGAGTTCCACTGCCTCCTAGGGAGCCTCAAATTGAGCACACTCCCTGGACCTGAGCTTCTGAGGCCTCATAACACCCTCAAAAGCTTATGTATCATGCTTGTGAGCTGGTAAAGACAGGATTTGAACCCAGCTCTGTCTGGCCATAACACGACACCATTTTGGAACCTGTTTCAGGCAATCGATTATGTTCTGTAATTTGGAAGAAAATGTGTCGGGTATGCCGTGACCTGCTATTACCATGTCTCAAGTTTGTGCAGAGATCTGCAGTGTAATTACAGAGTGCTGCTTTATTTATTATGGTGTACAGATCTCCCCAGTGAAATGTGTGCTATCATTTCCCCTGAGGGGTGAAGACTGGGATTCAGGGAGGGTGAGTAACTGCTCCTAGAGGTGGCAGAGCTGAGGCTGGGACTCAGGGCTCTAGCCCCACACCTGGGCTCTGCCCAGAGCGACATGGACAAAGCAGCCTCCTGCTCTCCTGGTGACCTACCTACCCTGCCCCGAGCTGGGTCCCAGGGGAGCTCCCTTCATGGTGCGATGCCCCTCTGGCCCGGACCCCACACATTGAGGGTGATCAGCTGGACCCTTAGCCTGTGCACCCTGCCAGCCACAGCCAGTCCAGACTCATGGGCCTGAAAGCAGAGGGGCCCAGAGAGTGGCTCATGCTCAGCAGCAGGCAAGAGCACATCCTGCTGTCTGTCTTGGAGTTTATGCCGAAGATGGAAAGAGCTAACTGACAACCAGAAGAGTGCCCAACCCCACTGCTGGGGTGAGGCCGGAGCCGGTCAGTGGGAGCTCGGGAGCCTTGGCCCTGGCCTCCTTTCCATGCAGGCAGAGCATGGCTTCTCCGTGCCCGGCCTCAAGTTGCTTTGGCGAGTCTTTGTGCTTTGCTTGGCTTTTCACTGAGTCTTGAGGGAATCTGGAATGTCCAACACACAAGGCTGTGATGATCTTAGGTGTCCCAGAGGGACACGAGGCCAGTGTGGTGCCTGCTGTGGTGGTGGACCTGGCCCTGCAGCATGAGGCCCTCTGTTTGCTGGAGAAGAGGCTGCTGCTTCTGCTCCTCCTGGGCTGGGGCTCCCGGGAGGAGCTCCCGGTCATCAATCAACCAGTGATGTTCAGGAGGGGCTCTGCCTGTGCCAGCTGGGGCCTGGGGTTGCCTGGCCAGTCGAGGGGACATCGCATCTAAGGAACGCTCAATGGGGAGACACAAGACCATCTCCACAGTGAGAATGGCTCAGAGCTGGACAGGAGCCTCTGCACCAAGCAAGCCCAGCTGTGACTGGACAGAGCCAAGGGAGCAGAGAGCTCATGGGGAGCCCAGGCAGCCAGCAGAGGCTTCCTCGAAGATGGGGTCCCAGAGTGGACCCCTGAATGGTGTGGGGTGGCGGGCTGGCTTCTGTCCCCACAATCCCAGGAATCAGACTGCCTGGGTTCACCCCTGGAACCTGGCTTTGGCGGCTACTAGTTGTATTCGCTTCCCTATGCCTTACTTTCCACATCTGGGAAATGGGGATGTTGTAACGGATAAAATGAATCAATGCATCTCAGGCACTTAGAACTGCGGCTGGGCCCTAGTCCTCACACATGCTGTTAGGGTTTGTGTCTAGATGTCCCCCAAAGCCTCGAGCACTCCTAGGCGGGGTGTTCAGGCGGGGGTTGCGTCATGGGGAATGGCACTCAGCAGGTCAGTCCACTGATGCGTTTGTAGCTAAATGTGACTTGGGGAGGGGAAGCCTGGTTGAGGGGTGGGTCGCTGGGGCATGGCCTGGAGGGATCCATCTCCCCCTTTCTGTGCTTCCTCTCTGCTCTGCCAGGAGCTCTTTCTACTCTGTCGTGCTGCCCTGTCTTGGAGCCAACTGACTACAGACTGAAACCTCTAAACTCTGAGCCGAATAAACCTCTCCATGTAAGAGTTGTGGGTGTCGGGTATGGTGTCCCAGCAGTGAGAAAGTGTCGTGGCAGTGTCCAGATGTCCCCACAAAGTCTCATGCAGTCATAATGGGGCTTTTTTAGAGGTGGCTGAATCTAGAGTGCATGACTGATTCGCGGTGCAATGCTCAGACTGAGGGTGAGTGATCACTAAATCAGCCCACTGATTGGTTCGGCACCACCCTGACCTGGTAGCCTGGATACAGTATAGGGACAGAAAGAGGCTTGTCTTGCCTCTTGCTTGCTTTGCTGCCTTCTGCCTCCCATGAACTGTTTCCCCTCTGCCACGCCACCCTGCCTTGGAAGCAGCCGATTATGGACTGAAACCTCTACAAACTGTGAGCTAAACAAACCTTTCCCTCCTTTGACTATGGGTATTGAGTATTTTGTCTCAGCAACAAAAGAAACGTAACTAAGACAGAAAGTAACTGAGACACATGCCTAGCATTTTATACCAAACCATCACACATATAATTCTGTTTGAGCTGAGCCAGGTCATTGCCCCATTTTGCTGACTAGAGAATTGGGGCAGAGGGAAGCAGATAGACTTGCTCAAGGCAGCACAGCCAGGAGGTGAGCCAGCACCAAATTCTTGGTCCTGACTTCTGGGCCAGGGCTGCCCACCACTCAGCTATCCCCGGGCACAGGGCCCCCACTGCTGCGGGCCTGAGGCCCCGGCTGAATCAGTTTTCTCCTAGAGGAGGGCAGCAAGCATTAAAGCAGGCACGTGAGGCCTTGGCACAGCGCTCGTGTCACAGCCAGTGCTTGACAAAGGACCGCTGTTGATACCAGAAGTCACCTGCCCACTTCACTCCCACCTGCCCGGAAAGGTCACACACAGGACTCCTTCCGATCCCACGTGTCACGAGGAACGAGGTGCACTCAGCCCCTGTATCTGGCTGGTGCTAGTGAGAGAGGAAGCAGCAGGAGTGAGAGAACACAGTGAGCCCAAGGCATGCTTATGGACTTTCTCAGCTGCCAGGCAAATTCTGGCAAAAAATCCCTCTTAGGAGCCAGGACAGAAGGTAGAGACAGACTCTATCTAGATGCTGTCTAGGTAGGGATGGCCCACGTTCAGGTCAAGCTGTCGGGGGAAGTGGAGCCTCCTTCTCCAGAGAATCTGACCCAGATAGTGCCCAGTGCTCTTGGGGAATACAAAGGGTGTCGTGCATGGTACTGGGGCAGGGAGAGGGCTGGACACCCAACAAGGTGGTAGGGGACCCAGTGCAGTGACTGGCATTTGCATGCCAATCACACCAGGGTTTGACCGGGCAATGGCCTTTAGCGGCCCCTGAGTTGTTTGCAACAGGGCTGGAACGTGCTTTTCAGGCCCTGGGGTTGAAGACTGCCTGAATCACAAGCCGCTGTGAGGCCCACGGAGCTCACAGGAGGAGTGAGGAGACGTTGTGGAGCCCACGTGGGAGACACAACTCCAGTCGGGCATCCCACCCGCCGGGGCTGAGGTTCCCCAGGGCCTGGACACCTGGGGAGTGTGGCAGCTGCAGGGCCAGGGAGGGACTTCCTCCCGGCCCCGCCTCCAGACCCCACCTTATGAAAGGGTGGGGGCACCACCTGTGGCTAACCTTTGCAGCCGCCCTTTGAGGCCAGGTCCTTCTTGCCCACTTCTGCCGTGGGGATGGACACGTGGCCAGAGCCGTGTGGAGCCCTGTGGAGCGGTCTGCGTCACGTGCAGACCCCTGGCTTTGTGCTAGCCATCCGCACACCCTCGCTCCAGTCCCCTCCTCAGAGAGAAGTCGAGTCACTCGCCACCACTGCTTAGCCAGTAAGCGGCAGAGACGCCGTCCTCCCATCCGACCCCGTGTCTTCCCTGAGCTGGAGAGTGCCGCAGCCCACCGTAGCACTGCTGTGTCTGTGCCCCCACCCCGCCTCTGGTACACTCCAAGGTGGGGACCTGAGACCGAGCGCCCACAGCCCCTCCTCTGGCTGTCATCACGCCTCATGCACCAGGAGAGCTCTGCGGGGGGGGGGCACCTGAACCCTGTGCAGACTCAGGTGCCTGGGAGCCCTTTCTCATTCCACTGAGTAGCTAAGGTCATGGTTACCGAGGAATTGGACTTTTTTTTTCCAGTTAAACAATTTAGTGTGTTATTGTTTTGATAGGATTAAAAATAAGACAGCTCCCAAGGCTTTCGGAGCAGTGTCTTTATTTAGTTATGTTAATCTTCATCTACCAAGATTGGCTATGTGATTTCCTAAATCACAACATGTTTTAACCTTTTATTTTGAAATAATTATAGATTGGCAAGATGTTACAAAAGTACCAGGCATGCTACATTCCTTCTCTGCAACTGCACCAGCAGAGAGCTGGGTGGCCTTACGCCCACTGGAAGGAGAGAGAGGTCAGTCACTGCCACCTTTACCCTCAGTGGATGTTAGCCAGGCCAGACTGATGCTGGCTCAAGTCAGTAACTAGAGCGCAGGCCCAGGCACCATCCTTACGTTATGGGATGGCGGGTGCTGTTAAACAGGCATGCCGGCTGTGGCTTCACAGTAGTCCTGGGCAGCTCAGGCCCGCGCCAGGCTGCTTGGCTTTCCTACCTCCAACAAGAAAGCAAGCGTGGGTGAAATTTGCTAAACACAGAGGCACATTTCTGAAATCTTCTGTACTGATTTGGCTCTTTGGCACAAGTTATGTCATCTTTCAGCTGCCCTGACTGGGATTCTGTTCCTTAGATTGTGTTTGTTTTAAAAACGTAAGGAGCATCCTTACATGCTTTGCTGAAAACAAGGTAGACCTAGAGCTTGGCCATCAGGCAGTTCCCTTGATCCCAGTGGGCAGGCCTAGGAGTAGCACTGTTCAGGAATAGTGAATGGACACAGATTTTGCCCACTGTGCAAGCCACTTAAGTTAGCATAGC